AGGAATCGATTCTGACACAGGGAGTTATATAGAAGCTTATTAGATACATTTTTATTTTTGGTGACAGAGCTGCTTTAATTGTGCTAATAAGGAGAGGTAGGTACAAGGTGCCTTCGCTTGTGCCCTCTGTAGTCATCATCAGCCTTCGATGAATGTTAGCAGAGCTGTAGAACCAGTTATACGGGGTATAAAACTCAATGCTGCCCCAGCTCCTCCAGTGTCTGTGTGTGAGGCTGGACAGGAAGTGGAAGGGATTCAGCTGCCCCTCACACCGGAAATGTCTTGCAAGAGGAGCAGGGACGGCATTGAGAGATATACAATGTATACTGCAGCTCTATGATCAATCGTAGGAGGGTAATTGCACTCCAAAAGCCAGGGTGAGTACTTTACAAAATAAACTTCAAACTCCACATGCTCTAAATATCCAATTTCCTAACCCTAAATTGAACCCCTCTCAAAACGTAAACAAACCCTTTCCTTATTCCTAAATGTAACCACTTAAGGACGGAGGAAATTGTACAAGTTCTGACCAAAACAAAACCTAGAATTTGCACTATATGTCTGTTCAACCATAATTTATCTCCTTTATATTAAGTGTACCCACACATGTTATATATTATTGTGTTCAGGAGAATTAAGGCATATTATTTTAAACACAATTTAATATGAATCAAATCTAAAAAGAAATTTAGGAAATTAAATGTTATTTATTTTCCAAGTTCAGCATTTTAACTGTGAATGTCATAATACTGTTAGTTTTTACTTTTGTGATGTCCCACAAGTACAACAATGCCCCCCATGCACAGATTTTATGGTGTTTTGGAAAGTCACAGGATCAAATAAAGAGCTTGCCTATTTCCGTTTATACACAGTGAAATTTGCCAGGTTGTTTTCTGTGTTGCCTTTGAGACCATATGGCAGCCACGAATGAAAATTCCACCCGCGATGGCATACTTTTTGTAAAAGTAGACAACCCAGGGTATTCAAAATGCGGTATGTCCAGTGTTTTGTAGTAGCCACTTAGACACAAACTCTGGTCAAACTTAGTGTTCATATTTGTTTCTCGCATTTATCACAAAAATAATACCCTTTGCCAATGATATCGTTATACCTATTACTGCTCTAAAACATTCAAATTTGTGTTCAGCGATGTCGCACGAGTACAACAGGGTTAAATGGGTTTTGGAAAGTTACAGGGTCAAATATAGGGCTTGCAAATTAAATTCTCTGGATTTTCTGCCTGGGTTGTCTCGCAGGTCCTTCAATACATAATTATATATATAATGCTATGTGTATATATAAATATACACAACTAATTATAATTCTTAAATTATATGTATATAATAATGAATGCAAACAAATATCAACATTTTGGCCACATCTTATTATCAAAATACACTTCTGTATTCAAATATGAATATATATTTAATGGCATTCCTATTGTATATTTTTATATTCTATTGGCATAATTGTGTTTTTTTATATTTGTATTTCCATGTTGGTTATCTGCCTGACAACCACAGGCAGTGATGTAATTTTATGACCCAGTCATGTGATCGAGGTGTCATCAAGAATATATGATATGGAAGGGCGGGATTTGCAGCAGGAAGACTGCCTCAGTTGTCAGGCATTCACTCCCATTCGGGATCACCATGGACGGTAAGTATGTAGGCTGTAGGTAGGGTATGATCATTAGGGCTTGCTATGTCACCATAATGGTGTTAAAGCCCTCCTTTTGCAGGATGGCATAGCATGCCCTAATTATGTTAGCGGGTTAAGCACTCAAAGCCAAAACCTGAAAAAAAGCTCCTAGATTTAACTACTATTTAAAACTAACACCCATGTACCCCAGTACTAAATTTAACCCAACTTTAACCCTACACTCAATAATCCTAAACACTTCCTGCACCCAAACAGTAAATTTAACCCCACTCTAAACCTAAAACTAATTAATCCTAAGCATTCCTTATACCACAACTGTAAGCCATCTTAAGCTTTTAATTCTTTTAACACTAAACATCCTATTTTATCTAACTCTGATTTTACAGGGACTTAGCAGCACCATTTCATCTCTTTAAATTGGTTATGGTGCCTGAAGAGATGAAGGGCACCCACCCTTCATTCAGTGTTAAACTATTTTGGAGCCGCTAAACACTAAAGAAGGTTACTGGTTTCCCATAGCCCTGCCCGTGTGGGAGGTTTGACTAAGACAGATACAGGGATGGAAAAAAAGTATTTTATTTCCTGCTGATTTTGAACGTTTGCTCACTGACAAAGAAATGATCAGTCTATAATTTTAATGATAGGTGTATTTTAACAGTGAGAGACAGAATAAAACATTTTTAAAAATCCAGAAAAGCGCATGTCAAAAAAGTTATACATTGATTTGCATGTCAATGAGTGAAATAAATATTTGACCCCTTCGACTTATTTCTTGGTGGCAAAACTCTTGTTGGCAATCACAGAGGTCAGACATTTCTTGTAGTTGGCCACCAGGTTTGCACACATCTCAGGAGGGCTTTTGTCTCACTCCTCTTAGCAGATTCTCTCCAAGTCATTAAGGTTTTCGAGGTTGACATTTGGCAACTCGATCCCTCAGCTCCCTCCACAGATTTTCTGTGGGATTAAGGTCTGGAGACTGGCTAGGCCACTCCAGGACCTTAATGTGCTTCTTCTTGAGCAACTCCTTTGTTGCCTTTGCTGTGTGTTTTGGGTCTTATTCATGCTGGAATACCCATCCATGACTCATTTTCAATGTCTTGGCTGAGGGAAGGAGGTTCTCACCCAAGAGTTAACGGTACATGGCTCTGTCCATCGTCCCTTTGATGCGGGGCAGTTGTCCTGTCCCCTTAGTAGTAAAACACCTCCAAAGCATAATATTTCCACATCCATGTTTGACGGTGTGTATGGTGTTCTTGGGGTCAAAGGCAGCACTCCTCCTCCTCCAAACTTGGCGAGTTGAGTTGATGCCAAAGAGCTTGATTTTGGTCTCATCTGACCACAACACTTTCACCCAGTTCTCCTCTGAATCATTCAAATGTTCATTGGCAAACTTCAGAAGGGCCTGTACATGTGCTTTCTTGGGCAGAGGGGCCTTGTGGGCGCTGCAGGATTTCAGTCCTTCACAGTGTTGTGTGTTACCAATTGTTTTCTTGGTGACTATAGTCCCAGCTGCCTTGAGATCATTAACAAAATCCACCTGAGTAGTTCTGGGCTGATTCCTCACCATTCTCATGATCATTGAAACTCCACGAGGTGAGATTTTGCATGGAGCAGCAGACCGAGGGAGTCTGACAGTTATTTTGTGTTTCTTTCATGTGCGAAAAATCGCACCAGCTGTTGTCACCTTTTAACCAGGTTTATTGGCGATGGTCTTGTATCCCATTTCATCCTTGTGTAGGTCTACAATGTTGTCTCTGACATCCTTGGACAGCTCTTTGGTCTTGACCATGGAGGAGAGTTTGGAATCTGATTGATTGCTTCTGTGGAGAGGTGTCTTTTATATGTCTTTTATACAGGTAACGAGCTGAAATTAGGAGCACTCACTTTAAGAGACAAATGGGAGCCAGAAATCTTGCTGATTGATAAGGGATCAAATACTTATTTCACTCATTGGCATGCAAATACATTTACAACTTTTAGGACATGCGTTTTTTTTTTTGATTTTTTTTTTTGTTATTCCTTCTCTCACTGTTAAAATACACCTACCATTAAAATTATAGACTGATTATTTCTTTGTCAGTAGACAAACATTCAAAATCAGCAGGGGATCAAATACTTTTTTCCCTCACTGTGCATGCTCGGCCAAACACAGTTGCCGATTGCGATTTAGGCTGATGTTTCTTCATTAGCCCAAGCAACACAGAGTATTGAAATATTAAAAATGTTGAATGGACCGAAAGTGAAAGGCTTCTCTAGAAACTATAACTACTTATATCTTTCTTATCTGTAACCCGGCTTGTATTTACACCAAAATAGCCAGATGACAAAAAAAAAAAAAAATTCAAACACGGCCAAGTTAAATGTTTTGCCCACTTCAGCTATGTTTGCCCACACTCTGCACATCACATCTCACAGCTTCATTAAGATTTGCTGGCACATACTGTATTTGTTGCAGAGACATCAAACATTATATTCATACATTACTGTTACTAAAATCATCACAGATCGCAATGTGCATTGCACAAACATATATTGATATTCTTGTGGCAGTTGGATGCATAAAACTAAATTTTACAAAGCCAATTGTGACAATTTTGTACCAAGACTCAAACTAGAGAGGGAAGTGGCAAGAATGTGCCAACCTACACAAGTAGCATATCCTAAATATAGGCTTGAACCTGCCCCATGGATGAGTAACATGATATATTTTACCATAATTGCTTCCAAGTGAAAGCTTTTAATTATTTGATAATCTGTGGCATGGTTCCAGTAGAAGGCAGTTTAAGGTTAAGAAAACCTTTCATAGATTGGTGTGGAATTCTGAACAACCAGGGGCACTCCTGCCCTTTATTCAACTACGATCAAGTAACAGCTGTAGGAAAGTTCATAGTCCAACTCTGTCCCAAGGTCATTCGAGTTACCATGCCAAAATATTCTATTTCTATAGAGCAAACCAAAACAGATATAACAAAGTATAATTCAAGCGTTTAAGTCCAATGAGTAACTCAGTTATAAATAGTAGTGTGTCTTTCTTCAATGGACTTAGAACAATTTAAATGAACACTCTAAACACCATTATCACTACAATGTACTGTAGTGGTTAGGAGTGCCCTGATGCTCTCCCTCAGTTTAAATAGTCCAACCATTTTACAATAAGGCACCTCTCCTGCCTCTCAGAGAGCCAAAAGGTCAATGGAGGCCTTAGCTTGCTGGCTGAGAGCGATCACTCAGGAGTAGTGATGTCCCGAACGGTTCGCCACGGACGGCGAACATATGCGCTGTTCGGTCCGCCCCCTATGTCATCACTGAGTAAACTTTGACCCTGTACCTCACAGTCAGCAGACACATTCCAGCCAATCAGCAGCAGACCCTCCCTCCCAGATCCTCCCACCTCCTGGACAGCATCCATTGTGAAGCTGCATTCTTAGTGAGCTGTCCAGGAGGTGGGAGGGTCTGGGAGGGAGGGTCTGCTGCTGATTGGCTGGAATGTGTCTGCTGACTGCGAGGTACAGGGTCAAAGTTTACTCAATGATGACGAATAGGAGGCGGACCGAACAGCGCATATGTTCGACATCCGTGGCGAACCGTTCGGGACATCACTACTCAGGAGAGCTAACTGAAAAACCCATTGTCATGAAAAGTTCTTATAGATTCCACAGATATTATGTGCAGTGTAAATAGTGAAAAACCTACTTACAAGTAATGCAGAAACCAGGTAATTGACATCATCATTCATTTGCAGAAAGCCAAAGGCACAGACAATCTTTAACATGAACAGATGAAATAAACACACACAATTAATAACTGATAGTTAGTTAACAGTGTAAATGTACACTAACTAGTAGTGACAGTTTCCCTTTAAGAATATGATGTATGTGCTTATTTCTTATGTTCAGAGAATGTGTTGTTTTTTTTAACTGTGTTTGCAGCATCTCCCACTCTGTCTGTTAAATAACATGTTTCTTTGCACCAGCTGTCCGTGCTTTATTTACATTACGTTTCCTCCCTTCAAGATCTGCCACAATCATCTGTTGTTTTCCCAATAACTGCAAATTTCGCCGTTACATCTTCACTTTTCTACATTTACTATTCTGATTAAATTGTGATACTCAACTCGCTGTTCTTTTGTTGTTGTTGTGGGGGATAATCTTTACAATTATCTCTCAGTTTCTGCAAGGATAATTTTCCCCAAGAACAACATTGCTTATTTAAACATTTTAATGCCAGATCTATCAGGAATTTGCAAGAAGTTTCCCTGTTTTAAACCCATTTAAAAATGTCAGTGACTGCTCTATAATTCTCATATTGACACAAACTTGCCAGAAAAATATTGGAAAGCTTTTTGTCAGTTGCTCCATATTTAAAATTGCATCACAAAAACAAAATATAATAAAACACTCTGGACACCATAACATCTTCATCTCAATCTTACCATAAGAGTTTAAACTGTTTACAAACGGTTACGAAGGTATGCACCTTTCTTATACAGATTTCTTAACAGTAAGCTAGGGATAGGCTGAGAGCATCTTCAAATCCCAGTCCAAGGCTTCCAGATTGAAGCCGAGGGCTGGGAAGGATAACGAGTGTTAAACCATTTGTAAACAGTACACAGGACCGTTTGGCACCATAACAACTTAAATATGCATATCAGCATGTATATCTTGTCACTAAAGTCACTAACTGTTGTTAGTTATTAATTGCTAATGTCCCAAGTGCCTGAATGTTGTTGAGGAGTTAGCATGGTGTTTTGGGAAGGCGCTGTCAGGTCTCACATGCAAGGTTCAACAGAGAAGCATTGTGCAATGCAATGCATACATACACATACAATGGCAGAAGAGTCACGCTGGAAAGTGAGACATCCTGGAGGCATGACTCTACTTTGGTGAAAGAATCTCCAAAGTGTTGTCTTTACTATTTGTCACTTAACAACATTTCAGTTGTTTAACTTTACTATTTGTCACTTAACAACATTTCAGTTTTTACCATCCAGAATCTTAAAGGGACCATTATAGGCAATATGTCTAAGATTACTTAAGTGGTTATGGTGCAGGATACTGTCCCAAAAACTCTAAGATATAGATATTCACTGTGGCAAAGCAAGGCTTTAAAGTGGAGCTTGTAGGTTTCCCTATAAGCCCTGTCAATCAGGCAGCCAGGAATCACATTTTATGGCTTTATGTGAGGGAATGGAAGACTGCAGTGACAATATACTAGCAACATAACTACTTCAATAAACTGAAGTGGTTATGGTGCCTTGAGTCTCCTTATTAATGTGAAGTTTTAGTAAGTTTGTAACTGATACAATATCTGATGAAACTGGAAAAAAAATCTGCAGTGCGCTATTGACTTAAGTACAAGTTGAGAACTGACTTGTGCTCAGCAGGGCCGTAATTGGCCTGGGTTATCAAAAACAGAATTCACTCTAACTGTGCGGTTTGTTAACTTGAGCTCTTGTTGAAAATCCAGAGCCTTTCCTTGAGCAATAAAACTCACAGGATTTCAGAATAAGATGTACCTGCCTTAACCAACAACCAGTGTAAATTTCATAGGTTACAACAATGTTGCAACATAAGTATGTTTTAGATACACTGTAGGTTTGTATTTATTATATTTTATTTTTATTTAGCTTCAATTAATATTATCATTTTGAAAGGCAGAAAAGGTACTCGTTTTTGCCCTTAGCATCAAACAATATTTATAACTATGCATATTTAGTTATTTTTTGATATTAAAGAAATGTAAGCACTATATAATGGTCCCAGCATGCCATTGGAGGTGCCCCCAGTAATAATTAAATTGATTTGATACAAACCAAAAGGTCATTGTGTAAGGGTCTATGTCTTGGACTTTTAGTTGGCATATTGCTATTGTGGAAATTATACCTTTTTTTTTTTACAGTTTTGGCCAAATTTGTACAGCATTCTCTGGTTGAGTGTGTCAAATGAAGATAACATAGTTAACACTTTAAACTGCATATATTATGCCCCAAACAACTTATGCTCATTAGATTGAGCATAAGATTTTACCTCAGCGTGCCTCGGCATTGACTGGCATGAGGGCAGAAAAGTCCTCCCACAGGATGTCCCTCTGCTCTCTACCCATTTCTATCGCCGGCTTGGGAGTATAGGAACGGAGCTGATGATTCCAATGATTCCAGTGTGCCAATGTCACTGACAAGATTTGCCCTGCTTGGGGATGCGTCCCAAGCAGGGCAAAACAAAGAGGACTTTGGGACGAGTTCACGACGGCCAGGAAGCGGCTATTACACAAGGAGCAACAACCGCAAAGTGGTGTTGGAATCTTTAAATTTTACATTAAATGCATTATATTCAATGTATATGGGAGCCATTTCAACTAAATTCATTTTTCCATAACAGGTTCACTTTAAGTTGTTTTTTTCCTTCAACATTGCTTTTAGCAAATACATTTCTTAAAAAAAAAAAAGCTTAGTGAATCTCCCATTAATCTACTTCCAGTGATGGATTTTGCTATTTGAACTACAAATTCTTACACGCTTATGTTTAAGATCATTTGCATTTCCACCTTTTGAATAGAATAAATATTTCTAATGGATGTGAAATCTCAATTCACTGACGCACTAAATTTAAAGCAAGAACAAGAAAAGAACACTCTTGAAAATATGAAACGATACAGAAAAAAAAGACAAAATTAATCCTTGTTATAAATTTTCACTTCCTCATTTTGCAGCATTACATTTGGTTCTCATAAACAAAATTATCCTTATCAGACATTATAAATGTAAAATCAGTATATTTATCCACCCTTAAAGAAAGCCATTATCTCATGCAAGACTTGGCAGAGTGAGAAAGATACACAAGTAATGGCTGCTACTCGCTGCCTATTTTGCTGTAGTTCGCAAAATTCTCAGCAAACTCAGCTAGTCGAAGTCAAGGAGAGATAAAGAGCAATGCTATCCTTTGACTACAACTCCCAGCAGGTTCCGTTAGCACGGAGAAAACTGTAAATCCAGTGGGAGGCTTTCCTCTAGCCATAAACTAAAGTGAAACTCAGAATATCTATTAATGTGCAGCGATCTGAAAAGTAGTCCAAAGTGAGAAATCACTATGGAAACCAACACAATTTTTCAACATTTAAAAAAAAAATTGTACCACCTTTATGATCAGAATACTTCGATAAATCTCCCAAACAAGTGCGCTAGTAAAGTGAAGAACCCCCCTCTATCTATGAGTTCATACAAAAGACTGTGTTCAAAAGAGCAAATGTCCTTCAGAATATCATGGAAACTGGAGAGAGCCATCTAATTAGAGTGAACAATCATCATATCAGTCTTTACAAGAGCCACCACAAACAAAACCTTAAACAACTTAAAACTGTTTTCCAAGTAGCAGACATTCCAGTCTGAAATCTACCAAAAACAAACGATGATGTCATTGTGGACTTTTTTCTCTTAACCATATATTCATTTATCTTTCCTCCAGCACTGTGCTCTGCTAGGTTTGATAAGGAATGGTTTTCACAGCGTGTAAGTCATTCACACATAAAGTGTTTTCTGGGCAGAAACAGGATACCACTCTAGACAGACACCAGCATATTGACAGACACGTTCCTTTATGAAATGATCCAACATTGTATTTCCAAATCAACCATTACTCTAACGATTAAACATTAATGAGCTATAGGTAAAAAAGAATAGGCTCCTCTGTAGGCGCAGTGTAGTGCAGCCAGCCAGTGCTGCATTCACTCCCAGTAGGCTGTGCCTTTTACTGCGTTACCAAGTATGTTTCATATATAGCTAGCTATATCCATTTATAAAAACACATATATACGCAGAAATAACAGCAGTATTGCGGCAAGCAGTGATTCTTTAAATGGAATAACAATTCATATTCCATGCTTTTTGGGAGCTTCCTCTTTTCTTCAGGTCATAAGTAAAACCAAATTCAGGGTAATTTACTAACGTGAGAATTCAAAGTGAATTTAAAATTTAAGGCCAGAGTTGGTGAATGAAAAGCATATCTATCTTAGCGATTTTTTCTAGTTTGGCTATTCTGATTTTTAGGCCAATAAAAAAAGTACTGTTACATAATTCAATACTGCATACTGTAATTATTTTGGCAACTGAATTTCAGGCCTAACACCGCTATATATATATATATATATATATATATACACACACACACACACACACACACACACACACATTTTACCAGGTGGAAAAATTCTGACGTTATTAAAAACCTATAATAATTTGAAGTGGAGTGCGCTGAATTTTGAATGCTGTATTTATTGGCTCCCAACAGCACCCTGCTAAAGTATGTATGTTTAGGCGAGTGTAGCCTTTCTGTTCTGTGTACGTTTATATATATATATATATATATATATATATATGTATATATGTATAATTAAAATAATATTCCATACAGATTTTCACACTCTAGAAAATGTATACTTTATAATACCATTCAATTAGCATCAAAACTATAAATATGTTTCACAGCTTAAAAATACCTATG